TTTTTAGTAGAGATGGGGTTTCACCATGTTAGCCAGGATGGTCTCGATCTCCTGACCTCGTGATCCGCCCGCCTCGGCCTCCCAAGGTGCTGGGATTACAGGTGTGGGCCACAACACTACGGTCTAATTATTCTTAACTCTTATCAGTCACTGCCTGCTCTGACTGGGCCTTTATTCTGATGCCTACATTTCCTTCGGTGTGTGTATCCCTCCTGAAGCTGGGCCAGAGCTCCTCAGATCTTTAAAAGTCAAGTGTCTGAGGCAGCTTTAGGTCAGGGTCTTTGAACCCTATCAGGCTTTAGGGGTGGAGTTTGGGGAGAAGGCCCTTTCTCCTAGGGGGGGACTCCTATATAACTTTCACCAGATTCTGTAAGAGATTTAAGACCTAAAATGGCTAACACTCCAGTCCTTTGCAAGTGTCGGTGGTGGACTTTCGTTCTGCTGGCCTCTCTGCTGTCCTCCTGCCTGGTCGGCAGGGTCGGGCTCCTCTGCGCGGCTCTTGTCTGTGCTGTTGTAAGGACGCCACTGCGAGCAGCTTCTCTCCCTAGTCCGAAAGGTTCCCCTTTGCTCCTGAAGGCACGTGGATTTTTGCATCAAGAGCAGGTAATTCTCTACTCTCTTTAAGAGGTGAAAGGAGCCTTATCATAGTATGTGTTCAATAAATATTGTTGAATGGATGGTTGAAATAATTACACACTTCTTTTCCCAAACAGCTTCCCTGTTGAAATTAGTTGGTGTTCTTATTTAGTGTTCTTTGAATGGAATTACACGGATTGGTTTCCTTGGCTACCTGTTCAGCTTTCCCTACTCCTTTTCCAGCTTGAGTCTTCAAGAGGGAGCCTCAACTGATTTCTAAAACCATTTGTACCTGGTGTGCTTATAAAGCAATGAGACTGATTGTCATATGTTGTTTGTGGGATCCGTCTCAGTTACTTTATAGCCATACCTGGTATCTTATACCACAGATCATGGCCTGTTGAACAACATTTTAAAAGAGATTTCTAAAGGGAAATTTAAAGTGGCTTAGCATTATTTTATGATTGTCTCTAACTTACTGATCAAAACTCTTATTTCAGGAAGGTAATTAGATGTTAATTAGATGTTTATTGCTTGCTTTAATTTTATAGTTTTTTTGTGGATTTTTAATCAGTATTCTGATAAACTGCTCTTCTAATAAAGTGGCTGTAAGAATTTTGAGTAAGGTAGTAAAAAGGTGTATGTTCCATTGGGTTACATTTTCTGTAAAACTCCTTTTACTGTTACATTTCTCTTCTTTTTTTTTGAGGGTCTCACTCTGTCACCCAGGTTGGCATGCAGTGATGTGATCTCAGCTCACTGCAGCCTCAACTTCCTAGACTCCAGTGATCCTCCCACCTCAGGCTTTAGGGGTGGAGTATGAGGAGTACTCCTGAGTATCTGGGAACACAGACACGTGCCACCATGCCTGGCTCATTTTCCTGTTTTTGTGAGAGACAGGGTTTCGCCATGTTGCCCAGGCTGGTCTTGGACTCCTGAGCTCAAGCAATTCACCTGCCCCAGCCTCCCAAAGTGCTGGGATTACAGGCATGAGCCACTGCACCCAGCCTTGTTGAATTTCTTTTTCAGTTGCATGTAGTCTCCTGTGACTGCATGTAACACAGTGGTTCTTTTAGCTAAATATGATAAATGAAACATGTAAAACCAAAATATTTCAATGTGTTATTCATTGAAGAAGCATTGAAAAGGACAAGTTTTGGGGACTTTTGCTTGTTTGGTTTGTTGGTTTACATTTGTATGTACAAACCTTATTCAGATTCAAATAAGTGGTTATAATTTTATCTTTCCCAAAATAAAATATTTATTTCCCGTCTGCTGACCCTAGTCCCTCTTAGAGTCTCTGTGGAGAAGGCAAATGTAGAAGTTATATGTTGCCACCGGCAGCTTCAGCTTGTGAAAGGACAGTTGCTGATAGATTGATAGAAGTTTCTCTGTTTTCTTAAAAGACACTGGGAAGTTATTTCCCTTGTGGAGGAGGAAAGGGATAGCAGTTTCCTGCTGTCCATAGGAATAGATATTCAATTCCTCTAATGTTACTACTTCTGGAAATTATATAGGGGAAAGGTCTAGGTAACTATAAAGCAACTTAAGACCATCGTCGTAATTAACTTACATAGCCTGTGACTGTGGGCAGACTTCTGGACAACTGTTAGAGGCTGGAGGTATTTTGATGCCAAACCAGTCCAGAATGTTGAAGCCTGGACCTGTCTCTGGAACATTTGATTTCCAGAAGAGTTCTGGGGTAAACTAGCAAGGAGCCTCGCTCCACTCAAGTCCGGACGTAAGACCCAAGTTAGTTTCAGATGGTCACTAATAAAAGGTACCACCATTTGGCACTTTGTAGCTCTGTTACCAGCTGTGTGTCCTGTGTCTCGGTGAGATTAGAAAGCGTGGTATCCTGTACTTGTTTTTGTTCCTTGCACTAGTTCTACAGACAGTGGGTGCTCCATGAATGTTCCTAGATTAGTGCAAGAAGTACCAATTTATGCTATAAAAACAGCACTTTACTCCATTTCTTAAGGAATTAAGACTTTCTGAAGATCATTTTAAAATAGAAAAGATTTTACAGTGTATATCTACCATGATGTTGATACACTTCTGTTGCTGTATAATGTTATATTGCTGTCTGTTGTCACATTTGGTTGGTTTAATACTCTTTTTTAAATGTAGTTGTCAGACAAGTTAATATGGTTCTTAACACTGCAATCGTTCTATGCCTTATGTCTGTTTAAGTCTTAAGTACCATACAACAAATTACATGTTCCCACTTGGTGCCAGCATACCCAGCTGCAGCTTCATTTCAGTTGAGAAGTGGAGTTCCCATGCCCTTTCCATTACCAGATATTACGGTAGTTACCTAAGTGGTGTGTTTATATATTTGATGTTTCTGTAAATTTTAAATGTCACTTGAGTTATATATTTATTTTATATTACAGGCACTGGAGATATTATTGCTGTCATGATAACAGAATTGAGGGGTAAGGATATTTTGAGTTATCTGGAGAAAAACATCTCTGTACAAATGACAATAGCTGTTGGAACTCGAATGCCACCGAAGAACTTCAGCCGTGGCTCTCTAGTCTTCGTGTCAATATCCTTTATTGTTTTGATGATTATTTCTTCAGCATGGCTCATATTCTACTTCATTCAGAAGATCAGGTACACAAATGCACGCGACAGGAACCAGGTGAGCTCAGTACTCAGCAGTGATTGGTTCTTACCAGCCAGAGTTCACAGACATCTGTCGTGTCCATGCATCTTACTAACATGTTTTTTCTTTTAAAAAATGTTGTTACCTTACTCAGTCATTTTAATATGTTGAAAATGTCTACACAAGTATTTAAGGGATATTTAAAATAACCTAAAGGATACTACATTTGTTGTGATCACCTAGAATAGTCTGTTCAGGTAGATAGCTTGATATCATAGTATTATCTAGATAATTCTATTAATTTGGAGAAATATCACATAGTTGCATTTTTAAACTAGTAACTTTGGATGTTTCTGGAAATGGGAACTAGGAGGGGGGTTAGGGAGACTTCACACTACCCCTTCCTGTGTGAAATTCTTTCCCATGTGAATTTTGAACTGGGAAAGTATTATCTATTTAGAAAACGAAATCAGTGAAAAACCTCTGTCATCTAAGCTCAGACATGGTTGGTACGGGTGAGGTGGGGAGGACCAACAGAACACATTTCTCTGGATGGTCATCCTAGAAGTTCCGTTGACAGCACATCTGAGGCACTCAGGGAATTTGGGTTGAGTGAATAAACCTAGGAAAAGCAGTGTGCTTCCCTGGTATGAGGGCCTGGAGACGGTGGCTCTCAGTTGGTAGCTTAAGTTTGTTTGATGTGCTGTGGACAGAATACCCACCCTAGGAGCCAGGTTCGGGCTGTTAGGTCCCTAGCCGAGACTTTGCATGTGGAAAACTAAGAAGTGACTTGCTTGGAGAGTGGTTTGAAGCCAATTATCTTCTCCTAACACAGTACATTCAAAGCCCCGTGGGGACAGGGACACTGGGATTTTTATCCTTCCTCTTTCTAGTGGGAGCAGCACAGACTTCGGCACGGAACCGGTCTCAGCTCACTTCCCTCCTGTACCGCCGGTTTCCCATGATCCCTCATCCCTGATGGACAGTTTATTTAGCATCTCAACTTCTTTCTTCATCTGAAAGTAGATATCAAATACCCAAACACTGTAGTTTATGGAAGCTTTATGTGCCAGGCTCTGCCTGTGCACTTTTAATTTTTTTTATTTTGATAATTTTTATATTTGTCATTTTAGACTTAACAAAAATGTGCAAGATAAGTGTCAGGTATTCCCTTCACTCAGATTCTACAGCTGTTAATGTTTTACTATATTTCCTTTTCTATGTATCTATACTTTTTTAATTAAAAAAAATTTTTTTTAAGAGTCAGGGCCTTGCCCTGTCACTCAGGCTGGAGTGTGGTGGCAGTCATGGCTCACTGCAGCCCCAACTCCTGGGCTCAAGCGATCCTCCAGCCTCAACCTTCTGAGTAGCTAGGACTAAAGCTATGCATCACCATGCCTGGCTAACTTTTTAATTTTTTGCACAGACCAGGTCTTGCAGTGTTGCCCAGGCTGGTCTCAAACTCGGGCTCAAACGATCCTCCCACCTTGGCCTCCCTAAGTGTTGGGATTATGGGTGTAAACACCATCCTCAGCCTTTGTATATATACCTTAACAAAACTATTTGAGAGTAAGTTTGAGATATGATGCCATGTTACCCTTAAATACTTTGTTATATATTTTTAAAAACAACATTCTCTTATATAACCATAGTGTGGTTGTCAAAATCAGTAAATTAGCATTGATATAATACATTATCTGATTGATAGACCTTTCTTGGGTTTTGTAAAACTGGCTCAATAATGACCTTTATAGCAGAGAAAATCCTGGATTGATTGGAGCTCATTGGATTTTGCATTCAGTTGTCTCTTCTTACTTGGTTTTATGACATTGACGTTTCTGAAGAGTACAGATCAATTATTTTCTATTTGAGTTTATCTGATGTCTTATGTTCCTTCATGATTAGTTTCAGGTTATATGCATTTCAGGAAAATGTAGATTTGCTTGCATTTGTACGAGATAATACAAATACAAAGAGGTCTCTTATCCCCTTCACTCATTTTCTCCCTGAGTAACAACATCTTGTATAACTGTGGTCAGTACCATAACCTGGAAATTGGCATGGATAAAATCCACTGATCTTCCTGAATACACTGAAATCTCCCCATCTCTCCAGTTTAATTTGTACTTACTTGTGTGTGTGTATGTGTGTCTGTCTTTGGTCTGTGCAGTTTTGTTGCATGTGTAGATTCACGTGACCAACATCACGGTCAGGATACAGACCAGTTCCGTCACAAGGGTCCCTTGTGCTGCTCTTTTATAACCAAACCCCTTCCCTAATCTACCACTCATTGGTTTCTCATCTCTATAGTTTTGTCATTTCAAGAATGTTAAATAGGTGGAATCACGGGCCGGGCGCAGTGGCTCACACCTGTAATACCGGCACTTTGGGAAGCCAAGGTGGATGGATCACTTGAGGTCAGGAGTTCAAGACCAGCCTGGCCAACATGGCAAACCCCATCTCTACTAAAAACACAAAAACTTAGCTGGGCAAGGTTCCGTGCGCCTGTAGCCCCATCCATTCAGGAGGCTGAAGCACGAGAATTGCTTGAGCCTGGGAAGCAGAGGCTGCAGTGAGCCGTGATCGTGGCCCTGCACTCCAGCCTGGGCGACAGAGTGAGACCCTCTCTCAAAAGGAGAAAAAAAAAAGTAAAATCTCTAAACTACTGGAAATTCAGCAATATGCTTCTCAGTGATGTATAGAGAAAAGAAATCTCAAAAGGAAAAATACATAGGACTGAATGAAAATGAAAATATAGCATATCAAAATATGTGAGGCACAGCCTTAAAGAAATGTTGAGAGAGAAATTTATAGCCCTTAATTCTTACTTTAGAAAACAGCAAAGGCTTCAAATAAACTAATCACAGACTTAAATGTAAAACATAATATAAAACTTTCAGGAAAAATAGTAGAAGATCTTTGGGATATCTAGGGATAAGTAAAGAGTTTTTAGACTTGACACCAAAAGCACAATTCATAAAAGAAAAAATAAACTTCATAAAAAGTAGAAATTTTTGCGTTTTGAAAACCTTGTTAAGAGGTTGAACAAAACAAAATATAGACTGCAAGTCACGAGGTCAGGAGATCGAGACCATCCTGGCTAACACGGTGAAACCCCGTCTCTACTAAAAATAAATGCTAGGAAACAAGCTTGCTGTTTGTGGCCTGCACCCGATGGCAATTACATTTACTCCTTCATTATGTTTACTCCTTTCCTGAGTGCAGCGGTATGATCTCAGCTCCATGCAACCTCCACCTCCCGGGTTCAAGTGATTCTCTTACCTCTGCCTCCCGGGTAGCTGGGATTATGGGCGTATGCCACCATGTCTGGCTAACTTGTATTTTTTGGTAGAGATGAGGTTTCACTGTGTTGCCCAGGCTGGTCTTGAACTCCTGACCTCAAGCGATCCTCCCACCTCGGCCTTCCAGAGGGCTGGCATTACAGGTGTGAGCCACCGTGCCCTGCCAAGATTTCACTATTATCTTTGTGTTACTGATTTCTAGTGTGATTCCATTATGCTCAGGGAAATACTGTATGATTTCAGTCCACTTCTGTTTCTTGAGGTTTTATGATCTAGGATGTGGTTTGTCTTAGTCAGTGTTTCTTTGGTGCTTGGAAAAAATATTCTGCTGTTGGGTGGCGTGTTCTCTGGATGTTACTTAGACCAGTGTGCACAGTTTCCTTCCTGAGGAGCGGGCTGGGAGAGCCTGTTCCCACCGGGCTCTGTGAGACCAGGGCGGCAGGGGGATGGTGATTTTTCCTTGGGCGCCTGGCTGGAGTAGAATGAGCATTACCCAGGTGTTTTCTGATGTTAGGCCGTTCTTCTCCTGGTACTTTGGCTAGAGGAGTTGGGCTTTTCTTGGCTTTTTCTGGGGCGGGGTGGTGGGGGTGCTCTGGTCCTGTGGGCAGTTCCAGGTTGGAGGCTTCTGCAGCACACTGTCAGGGATCTATGGGGGAAGTAAGGAAGCTTGGAACCCACCACCGGTTTCTCATGTCTTGAGGACCCCAGACAGCCCACCTCCTTTTCCCTCCTATAACATGTAATAGTTTAAAAAAAAAGAGAAAACGAAAGATTTGTTTTTAAAATATGTTGACATATGAAACACTGAAAGTGAAATGATAAGGAGCTGCTCTGAAGTGGTGTTCTTGACAGGCAAGCCTGTGGCAGCGGACTGCGTGCAGCACACCCGAGGACGCTGGAACAAAGGCTCACAGTTGTCCCAGGAGCCTGCTATTGGGAGATAGTGCTTTAATTAGCACCCAGTGTGGGGCCTGCGGGTGATGAAGGAGTAAACGTAATCGCCATCTGGTGCAGGCCACAAACAGCGAGCTTGTTTCCTAGCATTTATTTTGCGGCTGACTGCATGCAGGATCCTTCCAAAGCATCTCTCTCCAGATGCTACTGTGGTGGAAAGTGATGTTCTGACCTTTTTTCCTCCTTCCGTTTTCCCTAAGGTTGACAAATGCTTGATGAAATTTTTATGTGGCTTAAAAAGCTTAGCTTATTAAAGTTTAATAAGAAGGTGGCAACAGCTAGACTGGTTGAAACCTTTGGCTATTTTAAAAGAGAAGCCAGAATATTAGCCAAGGAAAACCAGTGAGTTTAGGGACAGACTCTTGATTTTCTCCCACGAACTGTTTTTGTTTTTGTTTTTTGAGACTGGGTCTCGCTCTGTCACCCAGGCTGGAGTGCAGTGGCGTGATCTTGGTTCACTGCAACCTCTGCTTCCTGGGCTCAAGCGATTCTCCTGCCCCAGCCTCCCGAGTAGCTGGGACTACAGGTGCCCGTCACCATGCTGGCTAATTTTTGTGTTTTTGGGAGAGATGGGATTTCACCATGTTGGCCAGGCTGGTCTCAAACTCCCAACCTCATGTGATCCTCCTGCCTTAGCCTCCCAGAGTGCTGGAATTAAGGCATGAACCTCCACACCCGGCCCCCACAAACTGTTACCATGAAGCAGTTCTTCCTGTAGAACATGTTGCCAAAGAGGTCCATACGTTGTAAATAACTTTCTAAACATAGTAAAATACTCAC